TTCAAACAGTTCAAAGAAATCAGCAAAAGCCCCACATTGACTCCATGACTCCTTATGTCCAAGATGAGTGGAGATTCTGGTCGATATTGTCATGATAGCATCACAGCATCAGACAGTTGCTATAGATTTTTCAGCTGCACATCCAAAATGTACATTTCTAATGCATTATCCCATTACTGAGGAGGGTTGTGATTTTATATTTCAGCGTAAGTTTACAGCATGGCAGCTAGTGGATAGTGACACTACAGCAGGATAATTCGAGATGACAAACTCACAGACTTATCAAAGACTAACAACAATTAGCACAAACCCTACAGTGAAATAAGGACGGCACACTTTATAACACAGACTTTACAGTGTAGCTAGCAGGCTGTGTTAGCCAGGTGCTAATAGAAATGGCATGGCCCTGATGTCAGTAAGTGTTAGGACTTATACTCATACACAGACATGCTTGCTGATAGCGTTAATGGTGAGATCTCACTTACTTTGCATAGTAGACCCAACCATCTTTAGTAGACCTCTCCTCCCATCCAGGTGGTAACTCATCCTCACTATCTGTATCGTCCATACCGGCGTACTTCAGAGCTGCCATAGCTTCCAGTGAATTATGAAAATCAGAGAGAAATATCTGCTCTGGAGAATGAATGCAGATGTCAGAGAGCGCAGAAACACGGACACGGCGATCTTCCAGCACTTCCGCAACAACACGATGACGACTGCCGAACTGCATTTTGGGACATTGAGGCGGTAGACCATATGCTGAAGGATTTTTGTGATTCAAATGTTTCCGAAAAAAAGATGGCAGCCAGAAGCCAGAACTAGGTCGAAATTTCGAGTTACTGTCTCAAGTTTAATATCGTTGGGTTTTTTGTTTTTTTTTCATAAGCTTAAAGGCTTTATGTTAGAGAACACTGGCTGGGTTTTCTCTCAGCCTTTGATCTGGGTATATAAATTTTAAAGCTAGTAGGAGAATAATGTTGGGAGATGTTGGAAGTGGGCAGATAGAGCTGCTGATTTATGTAATCAGATAACTCAGGCCCACTGAGTTATCTACACAGCTAAAGTTTTCAGATTTTTTTTAATCTCCTCCAAATCCTTTTATTCTACACTAATTAATCACCTTTCCTGTCATAACTACGCTTCTGTACACTTTTCAGACATCTATCAACCAAAGAGGTCACCATGTAGTTGGGCATTTTTTACCAGTTTTACCTTTCCTGTCTATTGTAATAGAAAAGTAGCCTACAGACTATCCAAGAGGGCCAGAGGACATCTGAACAGATGACAGCCCTAAACCTATTGGGGACAAAGGTAGCATTAAACCACCTCATTAACTAGTCAACACAGTGGAATGACACGTAACAACTAACAAAAGCGAATTAGTTAGAGCTATTCCGCCTCTAAATGTTCACATGTTTAAATAAAAACAATAAATGAGATATAAACAGGTTTCAGATATAGTTAAATTAAAAGAAATTAGTTGTGTTCTGTGTTTTTTTTTTCCATGCCTTGAAATTCGACAACTGCCAATGTGACCTAACCAGTACAGCTGTTCCCATCAGCTCAGTAGCTCTTTTGTATGCAAAATCTGTGGCCGTCTCTTGCTTCTCTTATTCCTGCCACTTGACCTGCCTGTTGTGTCTGTTAACCAGTTTGTGCACTTGTTACATGTGTCTTGTCCATCTGCAGAGTCTGTGTTTTCCATAGAATGGCTGCGAAATTTCTGTGGAATAGCGCACTGTTGAACTGATAATAAAAATGTAAAACAGCACAATAATCACAGTGATGTACTGAACTGTGGGATGACGTAATCATAAAGGATGATCCAGTACATCTTATACAAAAGGAGATAAAGAAAAGGAAACACTAAAACACTTGATCCCTAAAGGATTTAGCGGGACTGTGCCTCAAAGTCTGTGGATATGGAGATAGGGATTAGGCCATATAGACTCAGAACAAGGTGTTTAATTCCTGTTTCAAGTTTCAATATGTTTTGGTCAAGCTCTGGTGCCACTCCAACAACAGCACCGAGAGCAACAATTAGGATTTATAAGGAGCTATTGGCAGGGAAAGAGAGATTTTGTATGCTCATTGCATGAAACGCTGCAGTTTGGAAGGAGGCCTGTGTTGCCCTAGCCCAGACTGCACCACCCAAAGAATGTCTTGAAAACAGTTCCAGGCAGCCTGCCTCTAACAAAGATTCAGGTCAGAAAATGTGGTTGTTCTCTGATAATATCTAGATGAAACTTCCCAGGACCATTTTAAGAGACCATCACCCATCTTTCAGTGTTTCCCAGTTAAAACATAGATCATGTAGTGCACTGTTCCCTGTTTCCAAATCCTTCCACCTGATTGTTTCATAATTTGCCTTCACTGTCCAATGTCGGATGTGCACTGCCACAGCCACTACTCAGTGGAAGGGGTAGTGACCATGGCCAACTTATCTTTGTTGCCAGCCAGTCATTGCCATCTTCAGCATCATTCACTAATGTGTTTCCCCCTGCGCGGCAGCTCTATATTCAAAATCGTTTGTCCGATAAATCCACACAGCCACACTCCTATCTGTATACTCTCTGATCCACTCAGCCACTTGGTTATTCACTCCCCATTGCTTTCCACCTTCCACCTCCCAGAGAACTTGATAGGTTTGTAGCTTAAACTTATTCGCTGGAACGTTGAAGACAATTTAATTACACAGCAAAAGCAAGACACGAGTAGGCAAAGTTCTTTATGTTTCTCGTGCACGGGAGAGAACTGGACAAACGCCGTCCCTTCGCTTGACCCCAGTTGCTCTCGTCCGCTCCCCCGTAACACTGCTCTTTTATTGAGGTTACATAAATATAAATAGGATCATTAACATATGACGTCTTCATACACACAAAGAGTACCTTTGCCTGTGCGTTGTGTAAGTATGTGTGTGTGTGGGGGGGTGACCCCATAAACGACTTCCCTGAACCTGCTGGTCTGGAAGTCCAGCAGTTCATCTAAACAAAAGGCACTTAGACATAGACAGATATACGTGTGTTTGCTATACCATATATCAGTAAGAGCAGATATAACCTCTCTCCTGACCTTAAGTTGTGTGTGCATGCCAGAGTGCTCTGGGAGGCACACAGAGTCTCCACAGACTACTAAGGATCAAACCTCTACCAACATGACATTGATTATTAAACTCTAAGCATATATGAGTAGATATTTCTAAGCATAAATGACAATCCACTATACAAACCTGACAGAACTCCTACTCCCTCTCGCACCTACTCCATTACATTCTCCTCCTTAAAATAAAAATAAAAATAAAAAATTTAATGAAACCTTTCTCTTGAACAGATTTTGTGCCCTCCATTCAAACCATTGAAACGATTAAAAGTTATTTAGTCTTCTTTTGATTGCTTCATTTGAAGGTCACCACAGCATATTGTCTGCCTTCATCTAACCCTAGCCTTGGCATCCTCCTCTTTCACTCTCCTCTATCTGTTAACCTCTTGCATGTCCTCCTTCACTAGATTCGTGAATCTTTGTGGTTTTCTGGTTTTCCTCCTGCCTTGCCTACTCCAACATAGCCCCCATCCCTCCTCTGTGCATCCCAAACCACGTCAGCCTTGATTCTCTAGCTTTGTCTCCAAACTGCTCCACCTGAGCTGTCCCTCTGATGTACTCATTTCTAATTATGTCCATTCTAGTCAGTGAAGACCTTAACATCTTAAGCTCTGTCACCTCCAGCTCAGGCTTGTATCTTTTTGTCAGTGCCACTGTCTCCTAACCATACACCATGGTAGGTCTCACTACCATCTTGTAAACCGTCCCTTTCAGTCTTACTACGATTTTCTGTCACAAATCACTCCTGACACTCATCTTCACTGACGTCATCGTGCTTGCTGCCTTATGCTCACCATGCTTGTGTGCTGTTCATTGCTTTGGATGCTTTACTTCAGATATTGAACAAATGTTGCATGATGCAAGAAAAAGGTATATTCCTTATAATGACCTAGTTTTTAGTCTGTTTGAACTAGCTTTTATAATGAAGTACTGTTAATAATAATATTTTTTAGCTTTTTCAACAGTATTTTGTTAGGATTGGGGGAGGCAATATCAATATTGATTTTGACTATTGAGCTTCACAAAATAAATGTTACTGTATTGTAAAATCAATATTGTGATACTTTGCTTGGTGATACAGTATCAATACAGAGACAGTAAATATTGATATTGATATGATGCAACCTTACTGCATCTACAAAAAAATCTATCCATAAACATGAAAAATGAAAAAACAGTGGCTGACTGGTTATGTATTGAATTATTTTACATTCTGTGACTTCTTGCAACTTCTTGCGACTAGATGGTTGCCCAAAGCTCAAGGGTGCTCACAACCCCTTATGATTGCAAGGAGGCAACCTTTGTGCAAACAGTCTCAGTCTGACGAGCAATGACTGCAATCACTTTCTTAGAGATTGTCAAATAATTACTATCTAATCGATAAAAACAGACAGACGTGCCAACATGTTGCCATCAGTCTGAATGAGCCTTTGTAAAATAGAGTCAGACTGACCTGTCTTCATCTTACAGTGTTAGTATGCTTGATATGCTTGAGAGGTGATAAACTGCAACATGTATTATTACAACACTCGGGACATCACAGAATGTTAAAAAATATCAATAATATCATACTGAGAATCAAGTATTGTGATAATATGGAATCACGGGGTATCTGGTGATTCCCACCTTTAATAGTTATACATAAATAAGAAAAAAAATTTTGCATATTTTTCAATTTGTTATAAACAACATAAAAAAACTATAACAAGATACCCTTACTTTTACGGTGTAAGTGAAATCGGGATAAATCTATCTAGGTCACACGAGCTGGTTCAACCTGATGTCATTTATCCTAAAATAAGAACGATCCAATACTCCTTTTCTTCTGATGGCTGGAAATCCTCTATTCTCACTCGGGCCACTGCGCATGCTCTAAGCAAAGAGAGGCGGGCTAGGAGGAGGTGGGTCGACCCGCTGTAGTCGAGTGTTTGTGTGTCGGTGTGTGTGTTCGTCTCAACGTAGCACGAAACGTGTCTCCTCTCAGCAAAGACACACAAACGTGAGACGTGCTAGATAACGTTTTTGTTTTTTTTCTTGGTTTTGAAAGTTTTCTTTTTGCCGCCTTAAGATTGTTGCGATTTTATACTATGTATATTAAAACATTCCGCTTGTAAAACGTAATATTTATCCGCCAGGAGCAGCCGACTTCGTTTCTACTAAAGAGTGTCCGCTTCTCCTCCCCTCGATGAAGCGCTGCGATGCCCTCTGATTTTATATCCCTCCTTAGCTCGGATATCGACCTCAATTCCCCCAAATCTCTATACTCTAAAGGTAAGATTTATCTAAAGGAAGGTTACTGTGAGGTCGCTAATCCATTTTGTCCTTGTCTAATGGGAACTAATATGATTGTCTTGATAGCTCATGTTAAGCTGCTAGCTAGCAATGGTTAGCCTCTTTTCTGCTAGTAGCAAGACTAGCTAGCATAGTTAGTCAGCTCGACTACCCTTGCTGGTTAGTTGTCCATGTCACATGCGTGGAAAAGCATGGTATGTTAGAATAGTAAAGTAAATATAACAACAATTACGTGTGTTTTTTGGTTACACTTGTCATGCAGATTGATGACTAGCATCATTTTAGTTGCCTATATGAGCTAACACAGCTTTGTGAGGTCGCTGCCTACCCACCACATTGTTCCGTGGTTTAAGGTACTTAAGTAGTGCTCGGGTTCTGCAGAGGTGTGTATTTGTGTGTGCGCATATCGCATGGATGGAAAAGTAGTGCATGGCTGTCCTGTGTTTTCTCCTTGTTTGGTTTTAGCGAGTGACAGTCACTCTGTTGTTTTGGTTTGTTTGGTGGAATCGAGCCAGGGTATCCTCCTCACATTCTCTGGTTTCACTGAAAGAATGCAGTTATTGGCCCTTCAAAGCCTAGAGAGTGCTATTCTGCCTATCAGGATAAGGGGCCCTCTAGTGCCAAAATATATTTTGCCTCTAATATCGCTGCACACTTGTCAGCCAACTGTTATGTTATTATTAGGTGGGTGTTGCTGCATCTCTGGAGTGCAGAACCGTTAACTAATGTTGCATTTAGCTTGGTTAGAGCAGCACTTTGCCTGTAAGTCTGTCTTTTCACTTTTTAAACATCGCCTCAATTTAATGTGCAAAGCAACTGTCACTGAATTGCTTACTCTACTCAGGCAGCTACCATGCATTTGCTTGTTTATGAGGGAGGCTTGTATATAAACTATTGATCCTAAAGTGCAAATGTAACCTGAGACACAAGAATTTATGCATATTACTTTTTCTAAAAACAATGGTGCTATTTCACCCCTTTGGGTTTTTCCCCTTACATTTTAATCACATTAACAAATATTATTCTTTCCTTTTTTATTTTTTTCAAATATTATTTGTACCCGACTGGCCTGGGCCTTAACTTGCCTGCTGGTCCCACATCTGTCTGGCTGCTATGTATAGGGTGCTCATGAGCCAGCAGAAAGCTTTGCTCTGTGACCCTGAAATTCTCAGTTGAGACTGCCATATGGTCACACCGTATCACATGATGACTGTTTATTTATATCTCTGTAATTGGGTGTGCGCTCTCACGTTGGGGTCAAGGTAACAGACATGCTCATCAACGATCTATTGGGAGAGCTCATGTATGTCAGACGATGTGGGTGAGTAGAGACAACTGACCAAGCTGCCAGAATATATTGCATTATTTAGTGGGTTCTGTTTTTTTGTTTGTTTGTTTTGAGGAAAATGTGAAATCTCAGAAGTTACAAATAGAAATAGTAACGCAGGGTTTACTGAGAAGCAAGCAGGGTCCTACTGGAACCTGGACAGCTCAAGAACTTGTGCCTGATTTTATTACTGCGACAATACATCATAAACATATAACTAATGATCAAGATAGTGATTTTTGGCTATATTTACATAAAAATTATGCTTACTGGGAGAGAAACAAAGTCTCTTCCTCTTTCTCACAGCAGAGAGACTGTTGTTCCTGTGTGAGGAGAGCAAGCCCTCGAGCAAAACTGTAACGGTGTTTTGTTTTTTGTTTCTTTTCCCCCCTTTTGGCTGATTTGAAAAACAATCTGCTAGAGGGAAATGCAAAGTGGCTTCGACCTCGCAAAAAATGAGTTAGCAACAGCAAGGTGAATTGAAACGTGATGAACAGACAGACAAACTGGGATGCTATTTCCAAATCCAAGTGCTGAAATCCCAAAATTGAAAACCAAATACCTACCCAACAGATATAGAGATTAGGGCTGCCCAGTTAATTGATTAATCATGAACATGCTTTGACCCCCTACAGTTAAATAAACGTGTTCAAGGAATATTAAAAATGTTTGCTTTCCCACACAGTGCAGTGCATTAAAGCCACTGAACTTTTATGGACTACCTGGATGACTAACAGTGCATTAGAAGACAGCCAATGACTGAAATTAAATGTCTAGCACAGCGAAATGTGTAGAGCTTGTCCCCCGAAGTGGAGCATGAGTCGTTGTTTGGAAATGACTCGAATTTAGTCGAAATGACGTAATCCTAGAAGAAATTATATGCAAAGAGTGCTGTAGAGTTGTGTCTGCATTGCAAAGCATTACAACCTGGTGATTGAGCCGCATGAAAACACACCACAGACTGGCGTATAATGAATGCACGAAGGATGAGAAAAACGGTGCAGTGGTTGCTAACAAGATCATCCAACACCAACTCAGACGCTCATGAAAGCGCACCTGTACCTTCCTAAAAATTACTTACTTACATACTCGATCATGTCTGTTTGGCCAAAGATAAGTGTCCAGTAATCACAGGACATAAAGAGAGGTCCAGAAAAATTGTCAACATACTTAACAAAAGTTTTGTTCATACCCATCATGCATGTACAGTGAATTGAGTATTTTGCTTTTAGGAAATCCAGTTAGGCTAGGTGAACAACAATTCACTGCAAAGATGTTTTAATTCACAGGAAAGTAGCGCAATGTTTAAGTGAAAACACTTATTGAATTGGGTATTGGAGAATGTGTAATTCTACTACAATCGTTACTAACCAATGGTAAAAGCAATAGATATTCTAGTAAGTGGTTGTGATTGGTGTGGGTGGGATATTGGTTTTCTCCTCATTGTTACCTTATGTCAGGACACAGATTTTACGTTACTCTCATTACTGGGATTAAAAAAAAAAAAAAAGAAGCATGTTTTGTTTGTAGCATATACACAAGGGAGATTTACTTCCACAACACATTTCTCCCACAGGTTACATACAGGATACATTAACCACTTGTCCCTGGCTGCCTTTGCTTTGTGTAATATGTTTACACTCAGTACAGACATTCACTTGTTTCTTTTTAAAGAAAGCAGGCCCTTCTCCCATTGTTATGTCTCTCAGGTATAAATGTAGGCCAATAGTAAACTCTCCCTTGCTTTAATGTTAATAGCCCTGCCTTCCACTTTAATGACTGCAGTCTTGTGGGTAATTTTTGGCCGTCCTTTAAAGGTAAAGCATGGGCTGACTTCACTACAGTCTAAAGACAGCAGTACTTTCCAGTGAAACCTTTTGAAATATTTAATTTATTACAAGACACTCAATGAAACCATGATTATTCGAAAGTAACGATGCCGTTAAGTGTTGGACAACAAAAAAGCTTGCAACAGCCTATAGCAATGGGACAACAGTGTGCAAGTGCAGCTCTTGCTACTTACTCTGGCTATGTTGAATGAAGGCACAGAATCCAATTCAATGTTATTCACGTGCCACAATATATGATGTATCCTGGTGACTAAGTAAGATGGATGTCAGTTAACTTGTTACTAAAGTTACAAGTAATAACTTTAGTAACAAGTTTCATCTGCTTCTTTCATCTGTGTAAAAGTGGTTTACATTAGGATACATTAGCTAAATGATGGCTTCCAAGAAAAAAAGTCTCAGGGGTGGACGGCGTATTTTTGTTTTTTTTTTCAACAGGCCGTACCTACTTAGACAAAGTAAGCAAAGGGCTACATACTGGAAACTACATCCAAAGTGCTTTATCATCATTTAAATTAGCGTACATTGTGCCAATTTTCTGATGTACACCACTGCATAGTCGGCTTTTGAAACAAATTGCATTTGAATCGATTGAAAGAACAGTCATTTGCCTTAAGACTCCTTCATTTAATGTTGCCATTATTGATTTCCTTTTTTTGGGGGGGGATTTTGCCTTTGTGTTTCTTACATGCAGAAATTAATAAATAATAACGCCTACACACACCAGGTGGTATCTGTGGCCCCAAGGACTGCTGAGCTTGCAATAAATGGTGAACTATTAATGAAACTGGAGTTAATTTTTCATTCTGTTATGTGCATGACATGCATGTGCACATATCTGTGTATTCATAATTACCTGAGACATTTCCTCTTTGAAATATTCTTTTAAAGCATGCTGCCTCATAACTTTAAATCACAATCAAGTTTGTGTTTGCCTTTTCGGTGCACCTTTGGCGGCTTGTTCATAAATGCAGATTGTCTTGTGCAGGAGTAGAAAAGTCAATCATCTCCATATGTTTTCTTTTAATACAATGTCCTTAGAGTTGTTTTTGGACATCAGACAGTGCTAGCTGTTGCTTGGTGTAGAGTGTTGAAATCTCCCCACATGACACAGGTTTCCATTTTTGTTTTTTTGTTTTATCCTCAAGGACCAGTGAAATTCAGCCTCACTTCCAAAAAGTTATACAGTTTCTCTAAGTGGACAAATGGTTGGTTCAGTGGGGACAGGGCACAAGTTAAAGGCCACAGAGCTTCTGTTTTTAAAAGTCGAAATGCGTATGGCATGTATTACATGTAGACTCAGTTTGTACACTGTAGAGACCAGAGACTACTTTTAGAAGCAGCTGATTGTTGCTCAGATATGTAGTTGTCACAAAGTTGCCTACATATATTAGCAGAGGACCATCTTTTGTATGGTGTTGTTTAATAATTAATGTGGCCTTGTGGTTTCCCTCTGCTAACATCCACATCCCCATGCATGCTCACCTCTATAGCTACAGCCACAAGCAGAATCCATAAAATTATGATTAGGAGTACAGTACAATCAATTTACACTGTAGAAATGTTGTTTAAGTAATTTTGTTAAACCTTGTTTATCCATCTGATTTGCACTAGCAGGCTGAAAGCAAATAAAAATTGTATTGGGCCATTTCTTGCAGTAATTTAAAATTTAAGATAAACCGTTAGCTTTAAAAGCCAAAATGGCATTTTTTGTGGTTTAAATGTGGAAAGTAGCTTTTATGTCGCTACTCTGGCTTGACCATATTGTTATGTATTCAAAACCATAATTAAAGCACCACTGTAGGTTGTGATGCGTTCCCCCCCCCCCCCTTTTTTTTTAACATGGAAAAAACAAACCAAACATGTGCTTGTCTAATCGGTTAATTGTTCTAAGTCTAGGTTAAAGTCAGTCCACCTCCTGGTAGGTTAGTGTGCTGCAGGCTACTGTTTGGACAAGCTTATAGATTTGTCCATACAGACTTGTCAAACGTGCTACTGTAAAGCAAAATAAGACCAAAATGTAGTGCAGGAAGTGTATTTTGTGAACTGGAGAGTTAACCTACATTTTAAAACCTATTTTAAGGATTGGTCAGAAAACCTTTTAAAGAGGTTTTTATCTGTTTTGACAGAGGGCAGTTCTTAACCCTAGAACACTTATGTGCAGTTTTATAACACTGTCACTAATGTCAGGTATTTTTTACCTGATATCATATGCCTGATAAAACATACTTCCCATCTGAATAAGTAACCTAATATGTGGCAAATTGAAGTACTCTTGTTACATTTCCCCTTAAACAACGTCTCATGAAATGAAAACAGTATCATTGGGGGACCCTATATAAACGCTTCAAAATGAGTAAAAAATAAATAAACTGAGAATCGTAAACGAAAATATTGTTTAAAAATTAAATAATAGACATAACTTTTTCTTCTGCCCACCTCTTCCTTGTCGTGTGAGCCTTGTCCAGAGAAGGCACAATCTCTTTGCATCGCTGACAACTGTGGGAGAAATAAACAAAAGATGGCATTTGACTACAAGCACGTGGGTGAAAATCATCCGACGTTAGTGTTCTAGGGTTAAGCACAGGTGACGAATAAAATTAAAGATAATTTTCCTGGAGGCATTTCAGGACAGTGATGACTGACGAGACTGGCTTCAAGGACTTTGCTGTACGTGCGGAAGAAGGTGTGCAACAAAATCCAAACAGCAGCTGTTGACACTGCAGCAGTTTCTTAGTATGGTGTTTCCACTAATTGAAGCACTTAGTATACTGTTTCTCACACACATTTAAAATTGAGATAACATTTGTTTTCAAACTTCAGGATTTTTTGTATATGCTGCAAAACGGCTTCTAAGCCCACAGAGTCTGTTTAAAAAAGTAAAAATAACATTTTCTGGTTTTCCTGAAAAAGTGAATCTATCACCTAGCTTTAATCAGCGCTACTCGTTTGATGTTGTTATCTTTGTAAAGGTATACAGAGTGGTTCCGCCACTGGAGGTTTATATACAAATGGGAAGCTTAAAAAAGAAGCCCAGGTAGCCACAGAGCTGCACTCTTGGGGAAAGTGACATTTTCACCTACAGAAAGCTTGTTTGGTTTTGAAAGTTATACTTTTGGATAGATTAAATAGGTGAGGTGCAGGTTTATGCAGGGGTGTGGACGCACAACTTCTGCTGGATTTAAATTTAAACAGGAACATTCAAATGAAATTGATTTCAGAAGAATATTTGTTTTACCACATTCATTTTAATTTAATAATCGCCAGAAGCCAAAATTGTACATGAAAATAAAAGCCCTACTAAACATTATGGCTGTTGGACTCTTTCAACAAAGCATTTGGAAATGCTGCTGTTTAGTTGATGGATTATTATGAGCATTTTTTTTTTTTTTGCTTTAGATGGAATTTTAAATTCAAAGAAAATAGAGAATAAATGGGAGAAAATAACAATAGGGCTCCAATTAATCATTTTTATTTCAAGTCTCCACGAGCACAAGTCACAGCACGGTTTGAATATAGACACACTCTTTTGCATATACTGCACACCCTAAACTGGAAAGTGTGCTTCAAAAGTAAAAATTAAATCGCTGACAGCAATCCAATCTGTGCATTTATGAACCTGAAGTGATTGACTCAATAACAATGTGTGGTTATTGGCCTGTGTCACAAGGTAATTGAATCTTGTGTGTGTCTCAACCTAATATTTGTGCACATTTAAACAAATTTGTGCTGCAGGTAAACATGCTAATCATTATTTTTGGCTTTTATGATTCATAAAAGACTCCTTAAAATGCCTCTGATTTGAAAACATTTCTTGGGTAGGTTTCCCACCACGAGCAAATCCTTTAGGCTTAAACTGCACTGTGGTGAACTTTTAGAGGGGTAATTTAGTAGAGCTCTGAGTTGTAGTCAAGAAGATTATAAGATTCTGTAAAGTTTATTTCTAATAAACAACCATTTGTAGTGCATGTGTGCTGTTTTTTTTTTAAAGAAAAAAATCCTATGAACAATGAACCCTTTTACAGTTTGACTTTCTGTGCTTGTTTTGTGTTGCTGTGTGACCAGCAAGCACCCAGAGAGAACGGGTGATTTATACCCCTTTCAGGCCAACAGTGACATTCTTTAACACAGTGTGGACTCCTTTTGATCTGTCCAGTACATGTAAGCCTTTTGCCAACCTTGGCAAGAGGGTACCCAGCTTAGTGAACAGCAATTTCTGTCCTTTGTTTTTTTATTATGTGCTGCTCTTTTTTTAGCAGAAGTGCCATGCTACTCCTGCACATGTGTTGGGAGTCTATGAAGAGAACATTTGTTTGCATGTGATTGAATACTGAAGCATATACATGGTAGGGCTGTGCGATATGACCAAAATCTCATATCCCGATATTAAGACATCTATCGTCCGATAACGATATAAATCACAAAAATTTAACATTTTCTATAAATTCTGTGAATCTCGGGCAGCTCGACTTGCGTGAAGTGTTTCCAGCAAGGGGATTACGTACCTGGAGTCGAGTGTTTTAACTGATACATGAAACTATACATTTTTAGACATAAGTTGTAACGGCCGCCGTTTTCTTTGAGTATTTATTACACAGCGTGCTGCGGGGAAAAGCCTGTTCTAACGTTTGAGTCTAAGGTTTTTTTTTGTTGTTGTTTTTTTAGCACCTGGCAGCTCTTTTTTTGCTTCTCATCCGTAAACAATATGCATCTTTCACGTGATACAGTTTATTTTGAAAAGTCTCAACAGGATCTTGAGCTTTATTGTGAAAGGTTTATGTGGAACAAGCGGACACGCGGTGGTTTTACCGTCGTTGTTGCTAACGACAACGCATAAAAACAAACGCTTGTCTGTCTGTAGTGTGGTTATATTAAATATAAGAGAAAGAGAGAACTTTAAGAAATTAATATAGCCACTACAGTGACCATCAAAACGATGAAAAAATATTGCCGTAAACAGTTTATTTTGCAACACCACGAAACAAACAAACGATAGCGTAAAATGAAACAATAGATGTTTTTATATCGTCATCCGATATATATCGTTATATCGAACAGCCCTAATACATGGGTTCAAAGCAGGTGACAGCACATGTTCAGTGTACCCACTATGCATGCTTCTATTGTTCATAGGGATACTAGTTAAAGCTGAGGTCATGTCTCGTTGTCAGTCAATCTGTAATGCAATCAGCAACAAAGACTCACTTTCTTCATGCCACGCACCACAGGCAAAGATTGAGGGCTGTTGTGATATTCGTGCACACAATCAGACGGTTGCTGGCAGTTCTCTAGTCTCTGAAGCTTGCTGTGAACAGGTTCACTTAAATCCACGTTTTATTTTTCTAGCTGCACAGGAAACTGATCTCACCGAGATCTGTGAAATATCACAGCTCTTTCTATATTTGTTAAGAAAAAGAAATGAAACTTTCTCTGGCCTTTTGACATTTAGATTGTGCTATTCATTCAGCAGTGCTGTAAGGGCATTTGATGCAAACAATAGCAGATTTTATTTGTTCATTGTGTGAACTTTGGTGATGCATTGCCACCAGCTCAGCACCATCACTGACATCACAGAAGTGCAAGATCATGTGTCTTGTCAGCGTCATCGCTCTGTTGGGAACAAAATCATAGGCAAGTGTTAGATGACTACTACGCATCCTTGGTGCTGTCGATGCAAAGCTGAAATATCCATATCAAGGTGTTGATAGGTGCCTGTTTCTTAGCAACCGCACTACCTAATCATGTGTTTATCTAGCATCAGATCTGATTTATTCCAGTGTGGCTGCAGTGGTCGTTATGTCTACAAGGAATCATGTTGCCATTAAATATCTTCATGACTCTGTGGGTTTTATTACACCAAACCCCACGGGAGGCTAATTTAGTTCATCATAAGATACCCTGTGTTGTGCTAGTGTTGACTGCAGAATTTTTAGAGGATTGCAGTATTGCTTCCACTTGTCTTCGGAAAGCAAATAAGGAAACAACCAGTTTTGGTGAGATACTGTAGGAGTTTTGTTTTTGCCATGAAGCTTGCATTAGTGGAAGTGAAATTGACTGTTGGCAAGGTTCTATTTTGCGAAGAATTGTGACGATTTCTAGAACTAAGCTCCAGCAGTTGTATTATGACTTGGACTGTGCTTGCGAGCAGTTCTGCATTAGCTTCAGTTTGAGGCTAAGATGGCTGCCTTATGCAACCCTTGAGGCCTTGTTTTCAGTAGAATAAGTTAGAACATTGTGTGCTTCATGTTTCCAGGGTTAAATTGTGACAACACCTATTTGAGTTAACTGGCAATAAAGGCAGATGGGTTTTTTTGTTCTATTTTTAAAAAGTTGGAAGCAGTTGTGACTTGAAGGTTGCTATTTTCATCATGGTCCACCGTTCCTAACAGGTTAAAAGGAAACCTGCTGAAAATGGGTATTTAAAAACAGAATATTTTCATCTAAGAAGAGCGGGTATGAATCTTTTTTTTTAGTTGCATTGTCCTCTAATTACCAATAATCTCATTTATTTTTCAGAAACTAATTTGTATTCTCCTGCTCATCCTTTATGGCAGAGTCGGTATATGACCTCCTCCCCAAAGAACTCCAGCTCCAGCCATCGTCCACCCAGACAGACCCACCCACCATGAGCCAGAATAGTGGGGGAGAGGCGGGACCTCCCCCCTCTGCAGCCTTGGCGTCAGGTGAGCTACCTGCTCAGTCCATGAAAACCATGATCTGGGATCAGTTTCTCTGTAACAAACTATTACCCAAGTCAGCAGGGGTAAAGAAATGTGGCCTTGTGTGAGTGACTGGGGGCAACTTCACCCTTTCATCAGTTTCCGAGGCAAGATTTGTGACTAAATGGGATTTTAAATAGGCTAGTATGTATTAAGTATTTCAAAACTGCTGACATGACGATACATGGTTATTACGTGTTAGCTGGGCCCCATGTTATACAAGGGTACAGCACCAACAAGTCAGTCGGGGGTCAGTTCTAAAGCCCTTCTGTGCAGCTAAACACAGGATTTATTCAAATATATGTTGTAACTTTAAAATTTTCCAATATTATACCGTATTGATGTCTGTTGTGTTGTTGTCTGTCAGCATCTTTTACTGTTAGTGGTGGGCGATCCTGTTAACTAGCAGCAGCATGGAAAGTGACGTTGCTTATGAAGCCTGACTTGACACTCGCTGTTTGCGGGCCTAGTGAAAAATTTCAACACCCTTAGCACCTGATGTGAAGATATCATTTAACTCCACACAGCTGTGTGCTCAGTAGTGTTGTGTACTTTGGTACAGAGGCTGGAGGCAGTGTTGAGAGTATTTTAAACAATGGAGTTGAAGCTGCTCTGAACCAACTCTACAGTGGCAACATTTTAACCACTCAATGTTTTGATTTTTTTAGAGTGTTAATAAAAACATTTCAAAACATATCAAGCACCATGACAGCGTTTTACCTTTTATATTCACCCACTCTGCAAACACACCTCCACCACCTCACCTAACCAGTTCACAGTATAAATCTAAATCTCTAAAAAAATATATATATTTATGTAGTGTTTTAGACTAATGTCTTAACTGGTCATTTAACACTCTTTGTGGCCAGGTTCCTGAAAGCGTGGCCCACAGGCCAGGGACGGTAATTTTATGCATCTTTTGAGTGTGACCAGGAAAAAGCGTTCTGCCGTTCATGTTATTCAATGACAGTTCAGATCATTTATTGTATGTATTATAGCTGAGCAGATAAATACCAATTTGAATTCCCCTGTTTTCGCCATCACAGCAGACTCAACCTTTGCATCTTTGACAATAAACACCAGCTACATGTACAGCTACATCAAAATTTTAAATTCAGAATGCAGCGTTTGCATGCTGACATGGCCTCTTATTTATTGTTTCACCTATGATTTGGGTTTCTTTTTTTTATAACTTTTTGACGCTTGTACTAAATTTTATTTTTCCCTTGGCTCTTAATGTTAATAAAAAAAAAACCCCATCAGATTGTCTCAGCTTTACAGATCCAAATCATCTCCTACAACATCCCTCATGTTATGACGTTATATAGTGTTTTAGAGTTGGCATATTGCATTTCACGTTTTCAATTTCTTTCGCTTTATTTGAGTATTGCCCTCTCTATAGTTTGAGTTTTAAATGCCTTTAACAAAAGTAAAAGAGATGCATCTGTTGCACCGTGAACCGTGCACAAGTGTTTGACTCTCATGTTACAGAGTTGCTAACATTTTCACTAATTACAATGGTTTTGTCTACTCATGAAACAGTGAAGTTGCCCCAGCAAACGTTGGACTGTATTTTTCAATATCACTTATCAAAAGCAAAGAAAATGGCCTGATCTTGGATCATGGTGCATTTTGATGTTCTTGACATCAGTTAAAACTGTGAAGGATTCTAGTCATGGTTTTCATCTAAAAAGCAAACTAACCGGTGAACAATCATGTTGGAGAGAGCGCGCTTTTTCTTTTTTTTTAACGCTGCCTTTTTACTATCATGTCTGACCCAGCTGGCCCTAAGCAGTGCTGATCAAAAGCATGACTCATGTGATGTCTTTTAGATCATCATTAACCAAACAAACGTGCTTCCGAGTGTCTATAAATGATAAACTTCAAAAGATACTCCTTCCTTCAGTATATTAACTCATCCAGTTTACTCATTGACAGAAGTTAAGTCTTGAATGATCAGCTCTCTTGTTGCTCATTGGCTGTCTCATTTTTATTGCAGGAAGTGCCCTCTGAGGCAGGGAGTGTCTGCATATAAAATGGTCTGCAGTTCACTGCTCCATAGGTCAGAGGCTTGTTTATTCTGTCTCCATGGCTACGCTCAGTCCCAACCAAATATTCCAATTGGCATGCGCAAACTACTGTTTACTATTGAATGCACATTGCACAAACTCTACTGTAAACCTGGCAAATTTAATTTGGCGCCACATTATCAGCTTGCAAATTTGGCTGTACAAGAAAGTTTGACCAGATTTTGTTATTTTTCTTTCTGGCAATGTGTATGTAACAATTTGTAGCTTGCTTTTGTTTTTGTAAACAAGGCATGTCAGTTTTGTCACATTGATTTTTAATCAGAGGTTTTGTAGGAAATCAAAACATTGTGGGACCTATAGTACCCTTCTCAACTTTAACTTCAGAACATTTGGTCAGTGCTTGACAGCTCTCGCATGCACAGTGAGAGCACATAACCCACAACAGTTTGTTGAAATTAGAGTTGGGAAGAGGGGAAATCTATACAAATCATGCACAAATTCAGCTGCTTGAATGGGACTGCTAGCCTGCTATGTGGTGAACATCTGTCCTAACTTTTATATCTATATGCACTACTACAGATGCCACCTCTTCCACCTCCAGCCCTTCTGCCTCTTCCTCCCTCGCCATAGGCGTTACATCCTCTGGCCCCTCTACCTCATCGTCAGACCATCTCAAGGTTGCCCAGCATCTCCACTCCAGCGGAGGAGATGGCGCTGGTGTTTCAGAGATGCAAGGTGCGGAGGGTGCCCCCAACAGAGGCAGCAGTGGAGCAAACGCTACAGTAGGGGATGTAGGGCCGGGAGGGTTGCCGGGGCTAGGAGTCCAGCAGCCCCAGAACACTCCATCAAAGCGAAGGACTGTGTTGAGCATATCCCCACCACCCGAGGATCTGTTTGATGACAGCCAGATGTCTTGCCAAGAGGAACCTACCATATCTGGTGCACCAGGTCCCGACTCGGAGCAAAGCAGCAGCATGTGGGCCGATGAGTCTGTCTCGAACTTCAGTTTGATCAGCTCAATCTCCTACAATGACAACACAGAGGTGCCACGCAAGTCTAGAAAACGCACTCCTCGCCAGCGGCCCGGTCCCAAGCCTGCTCCTCCAGAAGACAGCATGGATGTGTTTGATGCTGACAGCGCCAAAGCCCCTCACTATGTGCTATCCCAGCTGGGCACAGATAAGACCAGTTCCATATCCAGGTATGGTGACACTTACTAGAGTACATTCTGTCTCTTTAGGTCAGAGTGCCTCTCCCCTTTGTAGGAATACATTAAGGTCGATTAAAGTTTTGCTTGGGGTAATTGGATTCTTGGATGTCACACTAATGTCATCATCATTTTTTGTCCTCTGCAGCTCTCTCGAGTCAGGAACTGCAGTGAAAGGTGGGTCACTGTCTGCTCAGTTCCCTCAGAGGAGTGATGGGAAGGAGCTAAAGATCCTGGTGCAGCCAGAGACCCAGCACAGAGCTCGCTATCTGACTGAGGGCAGCAGAGGTTCTGTCAAAGATCGTACACAACAAGGATTCCCCACTGTCAAGGTTGGAGTACAAAAGCTTCCAGCAGCTTCTTAACAAACGAAATATTACCACCAAAGGAAGAAGCTGCCGAATAAGATCGAATATAACCAATACACTGAGTGAGGAGTACTGCACGAGAAAGATTGTACTAGCACTGCCCACGTGCTTGTTTCCTTTCTCCTATTTCAATAGATGGCATTTAACATGGATAACCTACTTGTCTCTTTGATTTCATTTCTTTTTTAAAAAATTTTTTTTTATTAAATCAACAGTAAATCCAGTACTCGCACTGCAAACAACCAAACAAGTACCTTTACCTCTTGATGATAAATCAGGGTAGGGATAGTGAATGAATAGTGATTGCCTTGTATTCATTATTAAAGTAATAAATTCTTGACATCGCTCTTGAATGGCTCAGTGGTTATGAACAGATCACATGCTTCTTTTGTACCATGAATAATGCTGACAGATAAATGATTGAGTTGATTGGCAAATGATTAAAACTTTTATATTTAACTGAAAATCTTTCAGGGCTGAGGTGTTTTGTTTTTTTGTTTGTTTTGGGTTTTTTATTAGAATCTGGAAAACTAATTTTATTTTTTATTTTTTTGTCTGCAGTTGGAAGGTGTGAGTGAATCAGTTGTGCTGCAGGTGTTTGTAGCAAATGATGCAGGCAGAGTGAAGCCTCACGGTTTCTACCAGGCATGCAGAGTGACAGGACGCAACACCACTGCTTGCAAAGAGGTGGACATAGAAGGCACCATAGTTATTGAGATTCCTCTGGAGCCCAGCAATGACATGACACTTGCGTAAGGAGTTCTTACAGATAATTAAAGACTAGTTATTACTTGCAGTGTTGATATTTAAAAAGTATTTGGTATGTGCTTTTGTATATTTAGTTATCCCTTCCTTCTCCTTCCTGTGTTGTTTCTACAGGGTGGACTGTGTAGGAATTTTGAAGCTCCGTAATGCAGATGTCGAAGCCCGCATTGGTGTTGCAGGATCCAAGAAGAAGAGTACACGAGCCAGGTTGGCCTTCAGAGTCAGCATCCCCCAGCCTGATGGATCAACCCTGACTTTACAGGTTCCCTCATCGCCGATCCTCTGCAGTGAGTAACAGCCAACTAGGATGCCTGAAACAATTTGATGGCTAATATTTATAATATGTTTTAGTTTTATGTTATGTTATTAATGATAGTTTAAATCTTCTTTTACTCTTCAGCTCAGCCAGCAGGAGTGCCAGAGATCCTGAGAAAGAGTCTCCACAGCTGCTCAGTGAAAGGAGGCGAGGAAGTTTTTATAATCGGAAAGAACTTCCTTAAAGGAACCAAAGTTACTTTTCAGGAGAACATTACAGGTGTTGTAGCAATTTCTTTTGTCAGTAGCATTGTAGCTCGATGTCATGTGTGTGTGAATGGTTTTCTGCATATAAACCCTCTCAAATCTTTTTGAATTCTCAGATGATAATTCCTGGCAAGCCGAAGCAAAGATTGACATGGATCTTTTCCATCAGGTATATGCAAGTGGGGATGATGGTTATCCCCTTGAGTTTTTCACTGAATAATCTAAGCTGCTGTATCAAACCTGTTTTTTTGGCATACACTTGACACAAAAATGTGATCTTTTTTTCCAGAATCACTTGATAGTGACAGTCCCTCCGTTTCACAACCAGTCAATCACTTCTCCTGTTTCTGTGGGTATTTTTGTGATGACCAATGCCGGTAGATCACATGAAGCCCAACCCTTCACCTACACTCCAGACTCAGGTAACAGCAAGCATGAAAGTTACATAGTTCACGATTTTCAGCCGTCGTGGCATTGATGGCTTTTAAATGTTGACACTTATTGCTAAGTGTGACACTTATGGGCTATTTCTGTTTTGAAGAGAGTGAATAGAGCTAACATAGTACTGTTTTCAGATAGTTATAACAAGTTTTAATAGCACTACACCATTATAATCAATCATATAGACAAATCTAATGGCTGATTAAGCAATGCCGCAATTATTGCTGTCACAGACACATTTACCCTAATGGCAAAAAAAGATGTAGGGATCACTGGCAGTCCTTTGTGTTTCCACTAACAGATGAAGGTTTAATATGTAAATGTGTAGCAGATATAATTGGTCCTGACATTGGAGCATGTCTGGAACAGGTGGCATAGCATTCAGCGATCTTATTATTAACAAGGGATTGTAGTAGCAGGATGGTAGTTTATTTAAATAATCTGAATTATTTGTTTTATTGTTCTTTTAGGAGATGTAGCATTTAAGAAATGTATAATTATATGTCTCAGCAGTTGATTTATTGTAAGTGATCTCTACTAAAAAGTCTTGGAATATCGTATTGATTTACTTGAAATCTGCAAATGTCAAATACATTTAATAAAACAGACACTTTTACTTTACAAGGTTATTTAATTGTTTTTTCTTCTTGTGTTTCATTTAAAAAATTAAAGCTCACAATGGCACAGAACTGTCAAAGCCCCCCACCAGCTGAGATAAAAACGGGAATTGTTTAACTCACTGAAAATCCTGTTTAAGTGGATCTATAAGTTCATATCAGCGTAATGTTGGAAGATGAAAGGGGACTTTTGTGTGGGTTCAAGTAATTTTAGGCACGGTGAAGCTGGTAGCCTGAGTCTGAGTGACAAGGGGAAAAGAAGAAACTGCACAGAAAATAAAAAGGAGGTGGATCACAGGAAAAAGTGGGAGAGTGAGAGGGAAATGGTGAAGGTGCAGGGTGTCAAAAACAGCCTCCATATTTAAGACACAGAACGCTATCTAATCCGCTGGATAGAAAGGTTTACTAACAAAATGTGTCAGAATGCTTTGCTGCTGTCAGGCCCGTCATCAGAAACATCTATTTCTTGGTTTTAAAATTCCTGGTTGAACTTTGGAAACTCCTTCCTTTTTAAGCTGGATGTTGAAGCTTGGTAGTTTTAGTTGATTCAATTTAAGTTTAAAACAGGAACACAAAGTGGCTGTTTGCCATGCGCAGTCTAACAAGTAATATTCGTAGTTGGATTACAAAAAGCGTTTTGATGGTAAGTGGTCATGGTAAAAGTAGATAATACCCTCCTGGTTTGTATGGTTGTTGCAAACTGCCTTGTGCTTGGTGTTGGATGGGTTTTGTTCTCCACATCATCCATTAAAAACATGGAACATGCAGCTTGTCATGTATTGTCATGTGTGCTAAGCTCGTCATGTAGATTTCAAGTGCCTAATCGTTGCCATCTCACATTCTAACAGTCCTTTTCTCCACTCTTACCTCCAGCTGATAACTCAAATGTCCTGACAGTAAAAACGGAGGGGATATCCATGGTCAAGACCTGCTTATTTGATACCCCGATCAAATCTATGCCCTCTGAACAAACAGAAATCTCTGACCAGACATCCAAACGGCAAGAGGACACACCTATGGAAGTGTCTAGCAATCCACCATCCACAGAGGTCTTCAAAGTAAGATACCCCCTACTTTTTGAGGAAGAGATTTTAAAATATTTACTTGAGAAATACGGTCTGTAACACTGTTTTTCTTTCTCAGTCATCCCCTGATCCACTCATCACAGTGCAGCAGACTCTGGACCTTGGCTCTAGTCCTCATCCAGGTGGAGAGTCCTTTCAGAGAACAATGCCCTTACCATCAGAAGATGTGGACCTTCCCCAGGCACCCCCGGTCTTCCCTAGCTTAGAGTCCCTCAGCACAATACAAAAGCAAGAAATTGCCCCAACAACCTCCTTCTCTGTATCAGGAGACACCACAATACCACCTGTGACACCAGAAGTCCCCCAGCAGTTCCTTAGAGACCCCCAGGAAAGCTTGTCACCTGAGAGTTCCAGTAGTAGTGCAGGGGTGGTGGTTGTGGCCATGCCACAGATAGCACCTTCCTCTCAGGCACAGCCACAGCAGTCCCAGGTCTCCCTCTTTCCCCAGGAAGAGGTGGCCCAGCTGGAAAGGGCAGTTAGAGAACTCCAGGGGGGAAGTAACACCACGCTCCAGCAGGTGTTAGAAGCAGCTGTAGCTCAGCAGCAGCTAAATTCTGTGCTGTATAGCCCCACACCTTCTGCAGAATCCCTTCAGCAGCATGTCCAGGAGAACATGAACAGCCTTAGACTGGGGAGTACAGATAATTCACTGTCAGCACAGCAACAGCTACAGATACAACAACAGGAGCAGCAACAACAAATACAACAGCAGTTTCAACAACAGCAACAAATACTTGGAAACCTTCAGCAGCAACAGCAGCAAGTCATCAACAACATACAGATGCAACAGCAACTGATATTACAGCCACAAGAGCAACAGCAAATTATGGAGAATATTCAACAACAGCAACAACAATTGCAACAAAATCAGCAACAGCAAGTTCTAAATAATATTCAGCTTCAGGATCAGCAACAACAAAATCATATTCTTACCAATTTACAGCAACATCAGCTGCAACAGCAGCAGCAACAAAATCAAGCGTTGAGCAGCCTACAACAGCAACAGCAGCAACTTCAAGAGCAGCAGGTTTTGGAGAATTTACAGCAACACCTTCAGGCCAGCTCTCTCCTTCAACAGGCTGGAGAACTGCTTACTATCCAGACTAGCTTCCCAACACAGCCTCCTTCACACACATCCCCCCCACAGCAACTCTTCCAGTCGCCTAGGCCCATGGCCGAAACCCAGGGGTCCCAACAGCAGGTCCAGGCTGCCCTCATCCAGAATACCCTGACCGTACTGACTAGTGGCAGTCTCAACTCAGAGCAGCAGTCCACAGGATCAACCCTATACCTGACGCCGAACCATCAGCCCCAGCAACAGCAGCAGCTGGCATTCATCTCCTCCATGGAGACATCAGCCAGCCAACATCAGTCTGTTTCAATGTTTCAAAATCAACCGCAGTCTCAAATGCAGCAACAGAGCACCCCAATGGATCAGCAGCAGTCCCCACAGCAGAACCAACAACAACCAGCGCAGCTTCCAATGGGCCAGCAGGGTTCCTTATTTCAAAGTATTCCCAATCACTCACAGGGCAACCCTGCACCACAGCAAACAGGTCTGCTTCTCTGCACCACAGATCTGAACCCACAGGCTATCGCCCCTACTATTCTCTTTAGCACCCAGACCCAAGGCCCTTCCCCTATGGGGACCATTAGCGTTGGAATCACCCAGTCAGATACAGCAGAGCCCATGTCCTTCCAAGACCAGAGCTCTTCGGGCAGCAACTCAACAACCACTGAGAACCAACAACAGAGCTTGTTCCAGGAACAGCAGCCAATGCAAGTGGGCCCAAGTTCAAGCTCCGTCCAAAACAATCAACCTGTGGAGCTGTTCATACCACAGACAAATCTGTCCAGCTTGCAGAGTACTATTGGCTCACAGGAGCTCAACAACCAGGCTCCAGCCCCCGCCACAACCATCTTTGTGGTGCAGGGTGGTGTGGGTGTGGTAGCCAGCCCTGGTCAGCAGCCCCCAGAGCAGCTTTTCCAGACATCTGTGGGTGGCAATGTGGCTTCTCAAGGACAGGCCAGTCTGTTTGTTTTTGGCATTCAGAATGGTAAGACAATTCTGATCCTCTACACCTTTTAATGTAGAGTAAATCAAAGTTACCCATGTTAAATTCTTATTTTCTGAAGAATATGGTACTATCATGCTCGACCTATTAACTTGTATATATCCATATCCGGTTCCTGGTGACTATTCTCTTAGTCGGCTAAATGAGAGGGATAAAAAAATTAGTCTGATTAGTCTAAAACTAAGAAACACTCTGATATTAAGAATATTGGACAATGTCAAAATCTCTAAACAAAGGCATTTGAAACCATTAATCACATCTATCAACAATAAATCATGCCTCCTAACTGTGCGGTACCTCACATGTTGCGTTATGAATATTTCACATTTTACTCCAGACAATGAAGAAAAGGCAAAACACTTAAAATAATCCAATGTTAAATATAATAAGAAAACATGGTACTAAAAAAGATTTTCACATATTATTAAAATATGACAAATTGACATCCGAGAAATGAATAAATTGCAACTGAAAAGTGTTGCGTATTGGGCTGTGCATTGCGAATGATGCACCTTGTTCGAAAACTCTTGACAACCACTTAATTAAAAGTTAAAATCTAAAAGAACAAATCAATAAATAATCCAGCCATTTGCTGGTCAGCAGCCTAAGCAGAGAATCCCAGACATCCCTCTTGCCAGCCACCACCTCCAACTTCTCAGAAGAAACATGGAGTTGTTCACAGCCAGCCGAAAGGTCTAATCTCTCCTGTGTATCCCAAGTGGGACATGCCCATCTGGAACATCTTACTCAGGAGACAACCACCTCAAATGACCCCTTTTGATGTTGAGCAGAAGCGGCTCTACTCTGAGCCCGTCCTGAATGACTGAACTCCTCACCCTATCACTCAGGGAGAGTCCATCCACCCTTCAGGGGAAGGGTACCGCTTCTATCCGCAAACTCATTCTTTCGCCTTTAAAAGACCTAACCCTAATAGTCTGAACAAAAAAAATCAAGCCTGATTAACAGATTTATGGCATTTGTCAACAACATTGCTCCATCTGGTGATAGATGGCTGCATAGCATCCAGGACACAATATACCGGCATTTGGCATCAATTAAAATTTGAAAGAATTAGATTAAACGGCTAGTATGTCTGATACCCACTAGTGACAGTAGTGATAATTGGTCATCTAGTCAGGCACAGCTCTAATCCATATGCTTCTTGTGTTACTCCATTGCTACAGTTATATGCTACATTTACTGTTTAATGATGGATAAAGTTATTTTCTTTTTCTTTTTCTTTTAGACTCATCCCAGCTGCTCACTTCTTCTGGACCCAGCCAACCTGCGCAGAACCAAATCCCGAACTCCAGTCACATGCAGACTCTGCTGGATCAGCCCATGGCCCAGGCTGCCTCCCCAATCCCAGCTACCATGCATAGCAGCTTGCAGAACACCCTTCAGGCACAAATGCAGACCACCTTGGAGAACGCAATGCAGGCAAACACACAAACAGCCCTTCAGTCCAGTTTACAAGGAAACATAGAAGCGAGCCTACCAACACCAATGCAGACCAGTCTACAGACACAGATACAGAGCAGCTTACAGAATCAACTGCAGGCATCCATATCAACATCGTCCAGCATGGATAAAATTGAGGACCTACTGGAAAGCCTACAGAAGCAGTGATTATTGTTTGGACCATTGTCAGCACTTAGGGGGTGAGTGATGTGTATGTAGCTCAGAGTTATACACCCTAAAAATGGCCGTGTGTAGGGGTTTGTGCCAATGCTTAAAAAAAAGTCATTTAAATATTTAAGAATTACTTGCCCTTTTTACTGAAAACCCAAATCATGAGTTCATGTGACCTGTTTTTAAGAAATATTTATCATTAACTGTAGCCTCCATTTATCCATTGTTCTTGAATTAATGAACCCACCTTTGTTATTACCCCTCTTGCAGGATCAGAGAGGCCTGTAATAACTGCTTTATCCAGCCGCACAAATGCAGTGTTTTGTTGCCAGTTGTTGTTTTTTTTTCCTGTTTCTTTTTAAAATAATGTGAGCCTAAGAGATGATGACGGTGGTGGTAATGATTATGATGATGAGGATAAAAATATTTGTGGGAAAAAACAGGAAAGGGATAAAGAATGTCAGCAACAGAGGAACGGTGACAGAGGAATGGTGCCGTGATGGGAGAGTGTTGTGAAGGCAGATTTAAAAATAAAAAACAGTCGGTTATGGAATATCAGATTGCACATAACTGTCAGATAAAGGCAGAATCTCATTTTGAGTGTGTAAACTCCCCAAGATTTCATTTCACTTTGAGACAGTGGGTGTTTTTATTTTTTATTTTTTTTATTTTGTCAGTTTGGGAGATTAGCTGATGTAAAAACAGGGATAAAATCACGTCACAGTAATTCGATTTAAACTTCTTTTGCTGTGGAGAATATGAACAATCATGCTGTTAATACACAGCTTACATTTGCATATGTCAAAAATGCCATTAAATTTGCTCCAAGAGTACAGAATATTAGACTGTACAGTTCTTTGTAGGATAATGTTTCATGTTTTCTTTTAATAACATTTACTGGCATGGGTGGAGTCTGCACTCAAGCGGTTTATTATTAGAGGCAGCACAGTTTAATATTAGTGTCGGCACCACAAGTATGAAATGAATTTTTATCACAAAAAGTCCAGTAAAGACATTGTGTTACTGAAAGCACCCTGGTGAGTTGAGGGAATATTGCACACTCATAAATGAGATTCATCCATGTGACGTGGCCTTTGTTGGCACTTCCCAGTGTTCTCTTATGTGCAGGCCTTTCTTGGTGAAATTTTAAATAGCATTCAACTATTTAGGGTGTGTTTTTGTTTTTTGTTTTTTCCTTTTGTTGCTTTTGAAAAAGTTAACTCTTTATCAGTTAAATGTGGATAGAAAAAAAACCTTTCCACTAGTGAAAATGGAGTGTTGTGTGGTTTTATAAACATTTTATCTAAAGCACTTTATAACCTCTTTTGTGTAACCTGCTACTCCTTATATCCATCCACAGCTCTCTACTGATCTAAGATGAATTTGTACTCTGAAACGTCCAGTGGGTGGGGTTTAAAAAAAAAAAAGAAGAAGAAGAAGAGGGGGAAAAAAGCTGAAAGCAGTCAGCTTTGTACAAATAGATACATCATTTTTACATTTTCTCTCATGTCAGAGTATTTTTGAGGTCTAGACAACTTTGTATAGAACGTCTGCTCACTGTTGAGTCCCTCTTTGTATTCAGTCCCAGTGGTCCAGTCAAGTCTATCCAAAAACAGCCATTCCCACAAACGGCATTGTCACTTGTCAGTGTTTGAGTGGTAACTAGGCCTTTTGTGTTTTAGACACTGACAACACATCTGAAATACTGATTCATTTAGTTTGTACATTTACATGAAGGATCTTCATTGTTTTGTTTTTTTTCTTTTGTACTAAGTCTCGGTTTTTCTCGTTGGAATGTTTTTACTGTTGTTCGTGTTGTGTTTCGATATTAAGTTTCTGTTTCTGTTTGTAGCCCGTGCAGGTTGGCGCCGCATGAAGCTGGCTCCTGTTCTTTGTGTTGTGAACAGGGGCTCACTGGTAGATGAAATCTGTTACATAGAGGTTGCCATTTTTGATTCCATCCTTGGTGCTATGTAGAGGAGTAATGGACACTTCTGTCGTCATGTTAGTACAGTTTGTACTATCAATAGCACTTGCATTCGTTTTTAGTTTGGAAGCAAAATCGAGTCTACAGTGCTGGCTGTTGTTGAGGGATCAGACTGGAGTGCAACCCACCCAGGCATACCAAAGCTCCTGATTGTGAATGGTCGCCATTTTGTCCTCGCCATCGTAACGTTTACTCATTTGCATTTGTTCGTTCACATAATGCAGCTCTCACATGGCTAACAATTCAGCATGCTGGGGGGGTTGTTTTGTTTTGCTCTTTTACAAGATTTCTGATAGTTTTGCGAAGGTACTTTGCTTCATGGATCAGTTTATCTCATTAACATTTCCACCAATTTGATACATCACTCTATTTTTCAATGAAGAGTTGACATTGTTGAACTTTCCAAATCTAATATTAGCCAATTTGGCGTTATCCCCCCCCCAAAAAAGGACGTGTTTTTTTTCTTGGAGACTTCAGACATTAGTATCGCATTGCTCACATGCATTGTTTACATTTTCATGGTCATACTCTTTTATCTTTGCAGCTGTTAGTGATCCATTTTAAAAGTAACTTATCTTTTTTAGAATTTTGTAATCCATGTATCAAAATGTAGAGTATTTTTGTAAAACTAAACTTTTTTTCTTTTTTGCTCATAGCAAAGAACTATCATTGCTAGTGTTTTGTTGGTTTTTCCCCTGAAATGAAGCGCAGGTTTATTAAGTCTATGACTGAAACTAGAAATGTAAGTGGACATCAAGTGATTATGTTAGACTTAAATCTACTGTCATGATATTGACTTTACGCAAACTGTAGAACATAACGTGAAGTTTACTCCTCTTTTTTGTGCTCTGTGTGTTTTGTGTGGGCGTTTTGTATTTTAAACTCCTCTTTTGTTTTTGTTTTTAACATCATGCATCTCAAATGGCACTTTGACTCGTCCATTAACTGTAGATCAAGTTAGAGTGCAGTAGTGATGTTTCCAAGCATTCCATCCCTCTCAGTTAGGGGAGCTAAAGAGCACATGATGTTGTGGAAGAAGTGCGGAACAGTAATGCCTCTTAAAGCCATACCAACACAGAAAGCCAACCCGTGACTTCGGTTTCATGAATGTAAATTTTACCTCATGGTGTGTGGAATGGAGCTTGCTCTACATCTGACATCGGACCAATACTAGGCTTAGAGAAGATATATTTTGAGGCGGAGGGAAGGGGATGGGCAGGGCGGCACCAGCTGTCATTTGTGTCACTGCACATTGGTCAAATTGTTTTTGATTGTGGTGTAATTTCAAAACCGACCATTAGTTTTATTATTATTATTCATTTCAGTCCGACTTTGTCGAATAGCCACTTCACCGGGGGGGAGGAAAAAAAAAGAAGAAACTGTTGATTTAAAGGCGTTGAAAAGAGCACACAAATCTTTGCATAATATTTTTGTCCTTCAGTCATGTAAATGAATATCCATGTATATTTAAATGTGAAATATACTGCAGGGGTATTTTGAATTTCAATTGTGACGCTTTCAACAGAACTTTGTGTGCCTTGATAACTTAAACGTTGCTCTGCTGTGTTTACTGGTGTCCCTTTTGTCTCATTGCTCCTTTTTATTCTCTAAGACTGTTTAACATCCGAAAGCTTTTCCGTTACTCTCTCCTCCCCCTGACACGGACATAACCGTAACTGTTATACTTTAACATGTTCTCAATCCGTTGCAAGATATCAACATAATATTGTGCAGCTTCACCAGTGAATTGTCACCTTGTTGTTTTCTATTGAAAATGCTTTTCATGCCTCATGAGATTTGTACATGTGAGGTAAAAGGGACGAGACAGTGGAGATTGTTTTTAGCGAGAACTTTGTGTTGATGTGCTTGTCAACATTACTATTGTTGCTGTGAAACGCTTGATCAAAAGGGGCAACCATGATAAATTAAATTTGCCAATAGTGTGAGCTGTATCTTGTGTGTAATCAGTTTGCTCACTTTTACTAGTTCGCTTCTATTTCACATTCTCCAACAGTTCTGTTGTATCCGTTCTGTGTAGCTTGAGCTTTAGTATCTAGCCTTAAGACCCTGCAGTAGGGATAAAGGTCAAACCTGGTGTGTTATCATACATCTGAACTATTATTAACATGTAATTTTGCCTTTGTCTGGACATTTGTATACTCTTTGTTTATATCTGTAATCCTGCTGCTACATTAAATGAATTTTGAAAAACTGAAAATATCTTTTTATTTGCATCTTTTCACCACGCTCTGAAAAGTTTATATACATCCTTTCAAACAATTATTACACACATTCATAGAAATTATACAGTAAATTCAATGGGGCTTCAGGTATTGGGGAAAATCTGTTCATAGTTTACTGATTCTTCTGTGTAGGATCTGTTGGAAGAATGCTAGTGGGTCCTCAGAGTCAAAGCCAACTTCAAACTCGGGTTTCTTTTTAAGAGCAAGGACAGCAACCAGGATGGCCAGCAAGGCAGTCAATCCCCATATGTGATATTGGCTTCCCGAATCAGTGTCCACAAAATAAAATGAGTGCAGCAGCCCCGACATCCCAACGACACCATATGTAGAGTGGTGGTCCTCCTTGCTGGTGAAGAAGTCCAATGGGACTGTGAACACAGCACTGACCTCAGCTGGGTTTGGACTGGGACAAAATGACTCCTCTATGAAGCCAACAACTGGGGTCACCAACAGACCGGTCTGTTGACAAAGAACGACAATTAGGAGGGGGTGATTTGAGAAAATGAATAAGACTCAAGTCAGTCAATACTCTTAAAGAAAATCATGTTTTATTCTACCTTATTAATGATTGGAAACAGCGTACAGACCACCTGAACGTCATCAGGTGATAGACCTATCTCCTCCTCCGCTTCTCTCAGAGCTGTGTCCACATCGTCATGGTCACTGGGGTCTCTCTTTCCACCTGGGAAACACACCTCACCAGCACTGGTCCTCAGCTACAAAGAAAGAAACATAAATAAGATGGATTTACAGGATAGATGAAGACAGTGACTGAGAGATAGCATCCATCTCAGTGTTATCTCAGCTGCTACAGGGTGACAGGAAGGGTACATCTTGGACAGGTCGGTTACAGGGCTACACAGACACAATCATATGCATTCACCTTCACACATATCAGCCATTTAGAATCATCCATTAACGTAACCCCACTAACTGCCGTCTATGGGAGGTAGCCATGCAAAACGTCAGACATAAAGACCCCAGCCAGATGGTGGGTTCAGGCCCTGGACCACCTTGCTGTGAGGAAACAGTGCTTGCCACCATACTGCCCGTGGAAAGACAGTAGCAAGACTGAAAGTTGGTAAGATGTTAGTGAATCGACCTATATGTATTTATGTATGTTTTGGAGATGACTTTTTGACATTTTGGGGGAAGTTAGTGGGATGGACAGGATTAGGAATGAGTACATCATAGGAATAGTTCGGGTTAGAGGCAACGCTGGGACGGTTTGGAAGTGCAGAGAAGAGAGGGTGCCTGCATTGGAGAAGGATGTTGAGGACATGCACGGAGTTGGTGTGACAGAAAAGGAAGCTGGGGATAGGGGTCAGATAAAGGTAGATGAAATGCTGTGGCGAACCCCAGATAGAGAAGTGAGAAGAAACCGCATTTACCCACTCAAGTTACCTCTTTTGAACGCAGCGTCAGCAAGGTGTACAGCCGCCCACTCCTCACGAACAGCGGGATCAGCACAGAAGCTCTGGGCAGCAATGGCAGATAGGAAAACTTATCTCCTATGTCAAACTGCTTTAAAATGCCTATAATCTCTTCTTTAACGTGCATGATAGTGAGTGACCTGGTTAAAGTCCAAGTCTTGAACAATCTGGTACGACTTATTATTAAATAAACACAAAATCTTGGAAAACAAACGTTGACAGCTAAAAACAATACTGTTATGCTTACAGTGAAACTAACATTAGCAGCAGAGCTAAGTCTAATCAGTCCATGGTAGTTCAGAAAACACCTGCGTTGTAGGAAAGCTAATGTGTATATAATGGCAAACTTTCCCAACACCATTCGCCCTTCTTTGACAGCTACTTCCTACCCGAGTTTAAGCTAACACCAGAAACGGATGTGATGTCGAATTGCGACAACTTCCGCTTTAGACACGTTATTCAATTAGCTAAAGCGTTTGGTGTTGATGCTTGAGCCTCAAAAAGAGTACAAGTGTGTTTTGAGAGTGTTTGATAATTTAAAACATTCTCTAATAGGATCACGGAGATTATCATGACAGCGGAGCAACTCGAGAGAGGGTATTTTTGTCGCGTTAGTCTTCTCTCTGCTGCCTCCTTTAGAGGTCGCCATAGTGTATCATTTACCTCCACATCACCCTATCCGTAGCTTTCTCCTCTGTCTCACTAACCCACTGTACATACTCCTTCCTCTTTTCCTCAATCTTCAACATCCTTTCTCCAGTATATCCGCGATCTATCATCTGCACACATCCAAACCATCTCAGCCTCGTCTCTCCAACCTGAGCTGTCCATCTGATGTACTCATTTGCTAATCCTGTATATCCTGGTTACCTCCAGCTCAGCCTCCTTCCTCATACAATCCCAACTGTACTTGTCATTCTTAACCACAGTCTTGCTGCCCTGAAACATGTCCTACACCCCCCCCTCACATCCTTTTTTCTTGCCACTCCTATTTCACATAGTACCACAGTCAAGTGTGTTTTGGTAATTAGTTTAAAGTAGGCCTATTACTTTTGTAAAAACATGCATAAATGCAGTGTTACTCCCTCTTCTGGGAAAATAGAAAACAGACTCGAGGTTTCACTGGGATTTGTATTGCTGTAAAGAGATCCTTGGTGAAAACATTGGACATGAATCAAAACATACAGTACATGACAAGTCATTTTATGGCATAATGAGAGGATGCGTCTTCAGTATAAATCCAAACTGAAACATTCAAACATTCGAAGGCTACAAATAATCTGACAGCTCACTGAAAATAAAGCAGTAGCCTGAGATGTGTGTACTTCCATAAGAGCAAATTAATTACATTTTTTTTTTTTATCTCCACTTCTATTCAAAACTGTTATTTACACCTTAAGTCTTAACATAAATTCAATAAATTGACAACCAAAATATTGATAATATACAGAATTAATCCCACTTATAAGGGGGGAAAGAAATGTTCTTAAAGTTAGTTACAACCCACAAGTCACTTTTTGTGGATTCGCATATAGAAAAATAAATACGTTTCAAAACACAGCAAAGCTAACGAGGCTCGTCACAGTGGTCCAAGTCTTCAGCGATTCAGACATCGGCCTCTGCAGCACTTCATCTGCTCACACTTTGTACTTCTCCTTTGCTTGGTCATTCAGTATACAGATGTGCTGAAGAAAAGAAGAGGAAAAAACATCAACAGAAATGCTGAATATTATAACACTGGTTTCACTAAAAACCAGTGACACCAAACATGGCAGCCTTATGGTGCGTAAGCAGGCAGAACATCAGGACCCTGAAACTGCAGTTGCCTTGATTTTTGAGGATAAAGTGACTAAAATTAACCTCAACAGTCTGCCTAAATAATGTCATGATTAGGTTAAAATTGGGCCTCTGGTGGGTGACTATGTATGTAAGCATAACTGGTCCACATATTGTTATGGCACAACTAGTGCACTCAAACTAAGCTAAAGAAAATGTAATCACACTTAGACCATTTAGAGAAAATGATTTTTTTTTTCTTCCTTTCAGTGAAGGTCAAAATCAGTTTTTAAATGCAGGAAAAATCCTGATACTTCATATTAGATGGGTCCTCAAAACAACCATGTAAAAGCAATAATATCTAAAATAATTTCATCTTAGGGCAGACAGATAATTTGTGAAATATCAAGCCAATTACTCATCCAGTATCTCAGGTGCACTTGTTCTTGTGAGCATGTAAAAACATTAAAATTTTCCACACCTCTGCAAATAGAATGGTTTGGCACTTGTGCACTTTGGTTTTCTACTCTGAGCACTCAAAGCACTTTTTAACTACACGCACCATTCACCCTATCACACACATTCACAAACTTGCATGCCAATGAATGCATGGGGGCAAATCAGGGTCCAGTATTATACCAGCTTGCCAGCGATTATTAGAACCACAGCTATCTCCAGTGGATGTTGCAGTAACCCAAACCAGCTAAATCTGTGTTAAAAATCACCTTTATAATAGGAGACCTTGAGTAATCAACTTCCAAAAAAACACTTACACTGAGATCTCTGAAGTACTCGTTGTAATCCAAAGCATAGCCAACCAGAAAGGCATCCGGTACCTCAAAACCGATGTCTGGGGGAAAACAAACAAACAAACAAACAAACATTATAATATGTATTTATATTATATAAGTAAAATCACATGGATACTGGAGTGGTTGGCACTGTACAAAGCTAATAGTATACTAATAACCTTCATCAGGAAGTCAGTGGGTCTGTGGAACACAACACAGGAAACAAAATCGAAGGCAATCACTTAAGTTGCCATCAGATGCAGAATATACCAAAGTGTCCCCCCGCTGCTGTTCTGCATAGGCCTCAACCCTCTAAGCCAGCTCATCAAGAGCTGATACGATGGATATGAAGGGGTGCAGTTGCCAGAAGATAAAATAGCAGATATATAGAACAACTATAAGTACCTGTATACCCCACAGGCCAACGAGAACCATGACAAAGTCGCACAAAGATCAGCCACAGCCATATACCTCCAAAAGGTATTGTAGGTTCTAAGAAGCTAGCTGAACAGAAGGAATAAGATCCAAGCCATCAATGTCTGTGCCCTATCGATCATCAGATACCCAGTTTGAATAATAAGCTGACCACAGGAGGAGAGAGATGGCACTCATGTCAAGACACCAAAACTCCTCACAATGCACGGAGCTCTCTACCTGAAGTCTAGCACCCTGAGGGTTTATGAGCAACAGAAAAAAGGAACGGAGAGGATTAGTGAGTGCCAAGAATACCTCAGACAACTGAGGATACTTGGGGAACAGGACGAGGAACTATCATGGATGACCAAACCCCTATGGGAATCTGTTCCTGGAATGTACCATCAACGGATAGAGGAAGGAGCTGGCATTAAGAAATACTACCAGTGGATAGAAAAGGATGGCTTAGAGGAGAGTTCTGATCATAGCAGTATAACAAAAAGGTCCTATCAGAGCTTGACTTCTAGACAGACAAGCAGCTGCTGACTAACCAACCAGACATAGTGGTGGTTAACAAAGTGCATCTGTGATAGATGTGGGAATCTCAGCCGACAGCAACTAAGAAGAAACACAAAAAATAGAGAACTAGCAAGGGCAGAAGAAACAACTGGAGCAGATGGGAAAGGTAAAGTCTAAAGTGGCTGCAGTGATAGGAGCATTAGGAGCTGTGAGAAGAGGAAATGTATCATCACTGTGTAACATCACTGATACAAGGGGTTATAAATAAGAGAAACCAGAAGCTACTTTTAAGACCACTGGAAGAAAACAAGCAACAAACTGGCTCTGACATAAACAAGCAGTCACTGCTCTTTTATGGTCTCAGCGGAAAGTCAAAACACTTACAGTAACAGCTGTCCTTGAGGGACGATCTTAAAGAGATTACCCAACTCAAACCTAAAAGCATTACATAATCATAGATGGTGTGAGCAGGGGGTTATAAGGCTTGCATTAGTACATAAGTGCCAGGCTCGGCTACATTTAGAGTAGATTTCCCTGAGATTAATTATAATCCTGCTTTATTAAAATTTTCACTGGGTCTTCGAAGAGTCGCAAATGACTGAAAGTCACAAATTGAGCCATACCATTCGTCACTACACAGAGAATGTAGAAGAAAAATAAGAGGTTCTCACAGTCTGGTCTATATCCTGAACTTCTTGGGGTCCTCTTCACCAGAAGACTAGAATGATAAATGCAGAAAGCTTTATGAGGAAGTCAAAGACAAAAAGCTGTCATCAAAACAAAGACTGTTCACGTTTTACATCTTACATCCACCCATAGATGGCTATTTGCAGTCCAAGATTAAACTTTTTTTTTTTTTTTTAGCTTATGGACCCATGTACAGACAAAACTGGGGAATCCTATTTCACAAAATTAATTTTTTACTGTGGTAGATTCTAGAAAATGACAATTCTAACTGAAAAAAATAGACGCTTGTGGATTGTAAAAGTGTCTGTTTGGCTGCAGTGTACTCGAAAGACATTTCAGTGGTAGATATTGCAAAACCTCAGGGGGAACAGAAAATAATCACATGGTTCGAAATCACACTCAAGTGGGAGGAGTTTTATTTTTTCCTGTGGTAAACTACCCCTTAAAAGTCTATAATTCTATTTAAATGGGTATGACAAAAAACTGATAGGAGACTATTACACGGCACACATCAAAGCCACAGAGATGTCCCTCCCAAACTACTGTAAGTGGTGCAAACAGAGGGGAACTGTATCGGCTGAGCACTTTTCCTGTTTTAACCTGCTATCAGGAATACATCAGAGAAATGGCCTCTGCCTCCACAGTGCAGTTAATAGAACTGCAGATTAACTCTTAAGCTGCTCCATCCTTCCGTCACATCACATCTCTAATACAGTCCTAAAGGACAGTACCCGTTAGCTAGATGCATTTTGTCTCTCTGAAGACATACCAGCCAGTTACTGTGGAGGTCTGTAATTCAGTCTCATGCACTATAAACAGCATCTGAGGGTGCCTACCTTACAACTTTAACCATCTTGGGATTACATTCACTCAGTAGAGAAAGTAGTGTTTCCATCGTCCTTCCTGTCTCCACAATATCCTTTCAACAAGGCCAGAAGTGGTCGAATTAGAGATGTAAGCACAAATAAGCATCTATCAGATATCATGTCTGATATTTAATGTTAAAAGCAAGCAAACATAACTGTAATTTAAAACCACTACAGTAGCAGTAATAAAATATGAGTATTTAATGTTTTACTTAACCCTAATAATAATAATAGAGATCATGTTTTAGATGTAGATTTTTTTTAATCCACATCAGCCACCTGAATGATAATAACAAGAGCTTACCTCAACAATCAAAACATTCTGCCGAGCAAAAAAACAGAAGCAAAGTTAATAATTTAAACCTCTATGAAGAAGACAGCAGCATTTCTCTGTGACAGAAAGACTAACCTTGCCTGCGAGATTGGACAGCTCATCCCCTCCAATGACTTTAACATTGTTAGTTGACTTATCATTCTGGGGGGGCACAAAAATGAGACAGTATCCATAAGCTCAAACTCCCTCATAATGAAAGTTTTGATCAAAAAAAAAAAAAAAAAAAATCTACTTTTCCAAAATGCCTCTGCACTGCAGCGTTTTTTAACAAGAATGCTCTCATTTGTACTTCTGCCAACTCCATTTCCCTCCGCTCACATCCATGAAATGAGAAAGGCGGCTTACGCAGTAGCTCTTCACCCTAATGAAATCCACTGTCAGCGGGACTGATTTATCACTGTTCTGGTTCAGTGATTTAATGTAGTCGAGGAGGTCTGCAAAAAACTTGTAGCCGCCTTTCAGCACACACAGAGCTACAATGTGGTGTCCCCCCATGTCTCGAATGATGTCGCGGGCCAGGCGCTCTGTCCTGCATCAAAGAGGAGGTGGGAGAGAGAAACAGTGACAGCACTGTAAATCATAATGACGCCTGGTTCTTAAATGATGGGGAGAATATCCTTTAAGTGATTTTGCACTTTAGCACTACTGGCATCGAGTCTTCATATGCCCTCAAACCCACATACAAATCCACCCCTGGTTGTGGGTAGCAGTATTTTGTATAGTGCACACCTGTTTTTCATAGCACACATTCTGAAAACACGAGTCCGCTCCACTAAGTACCTCACGATTGCAGCAGTTTCCCATCATCAGTACACCTGTGCAACCAAGATGTCTGCTGTGAACCCCAACCCCCCCCAAAACAAAACAAACAAAACAAAAAACCCAGCCAGAGAAGTGACAAATCACTTTACCTGTCCATGATGAGTCCATGTGGGATAATCACCTTGTCCAAATCGTTCTCATAATGTCTGGGAACACAGAAAAGGTCCAGGTCGTGGCCTTTCTCATCATCAGCTATCTGGAACCATAAATTGAAATGCGCAAACTATTTGGCACTGACAGATAATGTGCGCCAAAGATGCGTTAAATCAAAGTGAAGCCCCCCACCCCCGGCAACACCGAGCCTCTCAACCACCTGTTTACCCAATTTACTGGGCGAATTAGTGGTAGGGTGGCGGTAAGGTAAAAAGGCATGACAGCTTAGATTGCGAGGGAAAAGCTCGTGCCTCCTCCCTTCTATTTAAAAGGGCCTACCGTGCCACGCGCACAACCACACCCCGACAAGTACGAAACACCCCAGCCCGGAGAGAGGACGGCAGCTGGCAGCCTCACCTGCAGATAGGAAGCCATGACACCACCGGCGGCCGTCCGATCCGTTCAGTCGCAGCGAAAAATCTGAACAGTCATGCTCAGGTCCTGAGAGACGGGGAAGAGGAGGGGTGTGTGGAGGTTTGATGACAGGAGGCTGCACGAGCGGCTCTCCTCTTTTCCTTTTTTTTTTACGGACTGCTTGTGAGCTGGAGCGGCACACGCGACGCTCCTCCGCCGGGTTTTAAGCCCTTTACGTCAGAATCCAGTTTGTCTTTCCGATAATCTGATTTGTCCCACACAACCAGGGCTTAAACGCGCTATGGTGGTGTTACTCCTACTCGTATATTTTGGTAAGTGAAAGAGCGAGAAACTTCCAGCGCTGGGGAGAGGCTGCAGATGACGCAGTTTAAAAAAAAAACAAAACATGCCAGGTGACGGCTCCTCCTCATCAAAGAGCTGTGCGCGAGCGTTTATCACGCATCTGTGCTCCGCAATGATTTCACAGACAAGCCCAATACATTAATTAAACCGCTTTTAATTTGACAATATGTGCTAGAAATGTTTCCTGTAGCTTAATTCAAATTTAAAAAATCAGAAATGTTAAATGATTATCACAGTTGTAATTAAAATGTTTTTATTCTTTACTAATGCAAAACTTGTGTATGAAAGAATAAGTGTGAAAAAGTTATACTGAAACAGGCAATTCACTGGGTTATTACTCATTAAGGTGCTAGCTGTGTCTTTCAGACTAGTCAGAACCTTTGCTGAGGACATTGCTTTGCATCATCTGCTTGATGAGCTTCAAATGTGAAAACAAATTGTGTGCAATTTCTAAAAGATCTAAAGTATTTTCTTTTCCCATTATGCTCTATTAATAACAGTTTCTCTACAGGGGAACATTATTCCCCTGGCTTTCTTGCCTTAAGTATTTAAATTAAAGCTTAGTTTTGCTGTATTTATGTAGTATCGCTTTAAAACAAGTCAGCTATATCAGTTGACAGTTGGCAATTTGTCAAGTTAAAACTGCCCTACCAGTTTACACAAACACACACAGCGTAAGCACTTGCACATTTGTTTTTCTCCAACTCAACTTCCCCTTCCATAATAATAAGTGGAGTCACAATTCTAAAATTATAACAGTGACTTTACCACATGTCTGCTTTTAAATATTAAGGATAAACAATGTGTAAAAATGTAAAGACAGAATCAGAGCAATCATCTTATAATATGATCCAAGTTTAATGAGTGATACAGAAACATTTCCTCGAACATACAAAAAGAAAAAAGAAAAAAAAGCAACACCGGGTGTTTGCAACATCGAGGCTATGGCAACTATGAAAACAGGACACAGCATGTTCTCACACTGGCCAACACCGACGAGCAAACAACATCATCTCTGTAGGATGACAAGTCTTTGAGAGTGCCTTTGTGACCATGAGACCAAATCTCAAATGACACCGTTCCCCATATAGAGTCCTACTTTTAGCCCGAGACCCACATACAGAGCTGTGCCTGTGGACACAAAGTAGAGCACCATCCAGAAGATGGCGGTGTGATTTGAGAGAGGACCGCAGAGGAAGAATGCTCACTATTTTTTCTTCTTCTCATCTTTCTTGGCACCGTCTGCTTTCTCCTTCTCCTTCTCTTTTTCTTTCTCCTTGTCATCTTTTTTCTCTTTGTCATCCTTCTTCTCTTTCTTGCCTTCCTCCTTTTCCTGTCCTTCCTTCTTTTCTGCATCTCTGTTGGAAATCTTGTTGTTGATCAGGTTGTGCAGAGCCACCACAGAGCGTATGAGCGAGGCCAAGTAGACCACCAACATCTGGTCATTGGTCTTTAGGTAAAAGGCTTTTGTGAACTCCTGCAAAATAAAAAAACGTACATATTATCCCAGCAAACATCTTAGTAGTTTATTATGTATAATAAAAGACATTTAATATTGCTATTTGATGCAGTATTTGACCACAGATTTTTACGATAAGACCCCCCCCAAACACACACAGAGCTCATATTCACACCAAAGGTTTTGTTTGTCACAGCAATTAAAAACACACATTAGTAAGGCATATGAATATTTTATCACGATATTGAAAATGCCAGTTCATTTTTGAGTTTTGTTTAAAAACACTATCACACTAAACACAGTTTTCCTTATTACGTTTCTGCATTGATTATTAAAGTATTTGTAAAAATTTAATGAAAAAAAAAAAAGGTAACAGCCACATCTTTAATTTAGTGCAAACATGAAATTCCCAAAGTCACATACAGCTATACGTGTTTTATAATCTCTTGCACTTAAAAAGCTGCCAGATTAAAAATAAAGTAAACAGACCTCAAACATAAACAACTTACCAGTAGATTTACATCAGGCAGCAGGTTGAAAACATCCTGCAGCTGGTAGATGATCTGGTGGTTGATGGGAAGCTTGCCAGCAGCCACCCTCTCTAGGTAAGAGCGGATGTCCAACAGCTTAGAGTTGAGTCCCTTTAGGCCGTGAACCTGGTTTGTGATGCGTTGTGATAGTGTGCCCACCGTTGTATCTTTGATGTCTCTGTAGAGGGGATGCAGCTGTGTCACATTTGGCTCACACATGTGAACAAGAATCAACTTGTTTTTTTATTTTCTTCTCATTTGTGTGTTCCCCCCCCCCAAAAAAAAACCCAAACAAACAAACACACAGTGCAGTGTAATTATGCATGTTAAGGCCAAAGAACAATGCAGTGGTTGCTAATGTGATGTATCCTCAGCACAACCACATTACACTTGGTCAGAGGCGCATGTTCACTAAAGACAGTGAGTAACAAAGACTGCAAGAAATTGATCAGGACAGTGGACAAAAGATATGTTATTCCCTTTGACAAGAACAACTAAATATTGCATGGGACATGAAGAGGTATATCACAACTCATGAGAACTTTGTCACTTCACATCCATGCAGTTACAAAGTAGGGCTGGGCCATATTATACCATTCACAGTAATACCGGTACAATGTTAGGCAACGATAAGAAAATGAAATATCGCCATAGAATATGGGTAAAACACGCATGCGCAGTGCTTTTGTTTTCATACGCACATGGCCGAAAAAGCATGGGTAACGGAATGTGAGAGGGGAGAAAGCGGATTGTTGAGTGAAACAGATGAACCAGAATTGGTTTGTAAAAATGGTGCCACTTCAGTTATGTGGAGCTGGTTTGGTGTTTGTCCGTCAGATACAAACCAAAGCACATTTTTTTGTAGAACATGCAAGCAGGCCGTCGTTATTGCCGTATTTGTCGGACTAAGCTACTCGTAAATCTGGGAGTAATCTGGGTCCTAAACTCCGTATCTTCAGGTCAAACGAACACTGCAGCATCACTGAGAGTTAAAAACTGTCTAAATTCTTTCATCTTTAATAAAACGATCAGCATTGCTGCTTTACCAGGTGTAACTATGAAGTTTAACATCCAGGCATCCATGAAAACAGAATTTATTACATTTAACGGAGTTAGAAGTTAGCAGGAAGTTAGCTCGCTAGTTACCTAAGCATGATATAGCATGTTCTGACTGAGAGATTTCTGAAAAAATTCAAACGTACAGCTCTGCTATCACTTCCAACATAAATGAAGACAGGAAACTAAACAGCAGTGACGTTTGTAGGGTTACTGAAGTTGGGCTAGCTGGTATATAATGATGTGCTACGTGATCGCTAGCGACACAGCTATGTTAGCATAACATAAACAGTGAAGCTGGAGGACGAACACTAACACTTTTCCACTCGATAAAAGTTAACGTGAAGGTTCCTCATGGTTAGAGACAAATGCAATCGCATGGCAGGATGCTGTAAACGGACCAAACTTCAGTCAGGAGAACAACTGAGATAATCCATCCACAATACGAGGTTAGTCATTAATATACTGCAACAACATGGGAATAGAGCAGCTGTGATAGAATACAGCATTAATGAATCAATGGTACAGAAGTGGAGGAAGCAAGAAGAATGAGTTGAATAAAGTTTGATTTATCTGACTGCTTTGTTTCGCTTAATGTGCTTATAATCCCGTGCACCTTATGGTCCGAAAAATACGTATTTGACTTTTATTTGGCACACTGCAGTTTAATGTTGCAAAGCACCTCTTTTTAACTTCAGTGGATATTATACATGGTTATGCTCAGGATATGTCAGCCCATTTCTACTGGAAATGCCTTTTGGTTAAACTTTCAGCAAGGAATTTGCATTTGCACTGTTAAATTTTTATATAGCTTTAATGCACATAAAAACAGCTGCTTGTTTAAGTGAAAATAAATGGATGGGGTTTTTTTGCGCTAGTAAAGTTGCGGAGTTGTATTTTGTCTCGCATCAATTATATCGTCAGTTATATCGTTATCGCAAATTTTCAAATATATATCGTGATAAATATTTTTGGCCATATTGCCCTGCTCTATTATAAAGGATTTTATATTTTGCCTTTTCTGCATTTAAGCCAGCTGAATAAACATTTTATATGTCGGCAAAAATGTTTTAATTAAAACAAATGAAGCACAGTGTAAAAGTGAACGCAGTGCCCGGTTAATTTAATTGTGTGTTAAATTTTGGTCCAATTTCTTTATTTCTATTTTTCTTCTTCTGAGAGGTGCAATTTAGGCGAACGAGGATGAATGTTATGTTGATGCAGAGATTTTTACATCAGCAGGAACATGAAAGCAGAGTTATGTTTATATCAAAGTCCAATTAAAACATTTTTGTCACTAAAATCAATTTTTATCTCAACACCAATCAAAATAATTGTGATAAAATTTGCCATAATCATGCAGCCCTAGCAATGCACAGTTGATGCTCTGTACAGTTATGCCACTTATTGTTTGTTTATTGAAATCTCTATTCGACTAACAGTGTAGCATTAATGTGTTTAAATTCAAATCTTTGTTCAGTACCTCAGCAGGTGCTCCACTCCCACTTCTTCTGCTTCCTCAGCTCCAATCTCACTGGTGACATGTTCAAATGTCTTGGACGTAGGAGTGCCATCCTAGAAAGAAGGAATTATCCATATGAATTAAGATTTTTTTAATCTGATCTGAGGAAAAACAACTAAACAAAGTACTTGTTCCAACTTTTGTTGCCCCTTAGCGATCACTTACATCATGGATTTCCTCCACAGAGATGTATGCTTCTGTGGGCAGACCGAGATCTTTGGGCTTTACGTCTATGATGACCAACACCTGGAAGTGTAGAACAAACGTTTATGTCAGAATGATTAGAATTAAAGCGAGCTGATGTCCACAAACATGCACATTAATACAAGGAAAAAGCAAATCAGTTACTTACCGAATTGGTACAGTACCGCTTGATGAGCTCATTGATGGCAATGTCATTCTTGTGTAATTTGGGTCCTGTGTGGTACCAGCCAACTATTCGTTCTCTGGCTGAAAAAGTGAACGCAAATGTATGAATGACACACTAACATTAAAAACATACTAATTTAAGAGACAGAAGCACTGCTTTTACCATTAACTTTCTTGAACATGCCATACATGTTCTCCAAGTAGTCATGGTCCAGGAACCAAACTGAGTCATCCCTGTCATCCTCATCAAATGGCACTGGGGAGGAAAAAAAACAAAAACAAAAAGTGTGTTAAAAACTGGCTCAGAATACATATTCTGTGCTGTAGCAGGAAGTAATGAGACATGAGACAAGCCTGACTTAATAGATCTTCTTAAACTGGTACATCACTTATTTTTACACTGGTGTCCTGTAATCGCTTAATAGTTAGAACAAAGAAAAATAATAATTAAATGAATAAGGATATGGTGCAGGGGAGGAGAATGTTAGATAAATACTGGGGAGCAAGAGCATATTTGTAGGTGTGAAGACCCCATTATATCCACTGTATAGCAAAGCTGACACCAAACTGACGTCACATCTGCTGTCGCAAATCTGTTTCTGCCAGCTGTGCACCTCTCAATTTTTGTAATCTGGTGTGTTGTGCCACTGCAGAGTTGTGTTGAAGACACAAGTGTGTAACTGTCAGTTTTGACCACTGTTTTAATGCTATATCACTACAAAAGAGATTCACAGCTTATACAAAGGGAGATGTTGCATTAGTCTGAAA